GGAATTTTTTAGCAAAATTGAGATTTTTATTGCATTTTAGTTTTTGATGTTATTAGATTAAAATGTATTAAGCTTTTTATTTTAGTCAAAAATTTCTCAGAACCTGATTTTCTTAGAAACACTCCTATATATTTATAAAATTAATTTAAAAAAATTTTTTAAAAGTAAATTTGAAAAAAATTTATAAATAAACAAATAAATTCATTCATAAATTCTATAATATAAAAATAGTAATTTTTTTTTATGAGTTAAATTTGTATTTTTAAAAAATTTTATTATTAATTTCTGATAATTTATTAAAATTTACTTTATTAATATTAATTATAATATATGTGAAAGACCTATAATAAAATGGTAAGCATCAGTTATTAGTTTTCCTACACTCCATATGTCTACTTCTTCACTGTGATCTTGTAAAAAACTTCTGGTGCATGATTAGTTTTTCAAGATAGTTTGCTGGTCTAGTTTGTGAACGATCAGCATCGTCCCAATCTATAAGGATCTATTTCGGTGGTTCACCAGACAATTTTATAATGTTAGGCCACTAGATGTCTTGATAGAAAATTAAATTATCACCACTATGCATAACCTAAGTTGAACATTACAGATAAGAAGTGTTCGACAAACACTTATCTGACAATTACCAAGATACTTACCACTAAGCCTCGAGCATACAGAGAATAGCTTCAAAGAATTCTTTCAAACTATTTGACTTTACACTTATTTCTTTTGGCCTCAGATATATCACTCCATTTTTATTATTAGCATAAATAAGTTAATCAACATTTGGGATACTTTTCTCTGTCAGTATGTTGTAAACGTTCTTGAGTTTTTCAACATGCTAATCCAATTCCTCAGGAATTTTATAGGTCTTTTTAATGTTCGTGCTGTACATCTCAATTGTCTATTTATCTCTGCAATATTATTGGAAAAAGAGACATCAGAATATAAAATACTTTAGTGACAAGTTTCTTCAACTCACCTAACAATTTAACTGAACTCAGGTGATTCACACTATCTGATTACGTCTTGAAGTGGCTTGATTAAAATACTTAGATTAATTATTTGTCGCAGATTAATGATATGATCCTTCCTCAGACTTAAGTTTGAATTCATAATGGTAGAAATCCTTGGTTTGTTATCAGTAAACAAAAGCGGAAAAATAGCAACAAATATTATGTCTAGTCCATTGGCATAGTAGCCTGTGACAGAAAATAATGTTTAGAATGTAATCATTTTAAAATAAGCATACATCTTACCTAAAATATACGGAGCTAGATCGTAGATCTAAGTAAGTTTATCAATAAGTTCATTTCTCAGATCTTTATTATTGATAAGTGATTTCTCCTTCCCTCTAAATGGACAAATATGACTGAAGATAAAACCAAAATCTGGCTATTTGCCAGGGATACTCATATGCTAAGAAGAATTATGGATAGTAGTACCATTGGAAATAAGGATTTCCAGAAGGGATCTAATATTGTTGTCTCAAAAATGGATGAAAGAATACTCAGTCCTCTTGCGTAAAGATGAATTATTCCAAATTGGAGAGTCAAGCGTCTTAGTAATGAATTCGTAAGCATTCTCAGTATCATTAATCTGGAATAAGATATTGAGATCTTCTGATATGCATGTATCTTCCATACTTTGAATCAAATAACTATTATATTCATGTCGGAGGATAGGTATCTTCATATTGTCTGAAAGAAACTATTCAAGAAAGTCAGGAAGTTTGTTAATTTCAGGAAGCGTCACCTTAAGTCTTTTATTAAAAGCACTAAGAACTTGAGCACTAACATTTTGAACTATAAGTGTAGAGCAGAATTTGTAAGAAATGACAGAAAATACAAGTAATAATAGTTTTTACTACACATTCTTATTTTCTTCTGTGAACTTTCTCTTATTCTGATCTAATTATTATAATTGTTATAAGGTTTAGAATATTCGAAGATATTAGCAAGAAGACAAGTTAATTGATAGTATACCATATAATGTAAAATAGAAAAAGAGAGGAAAAAACGTTGAGAGACACTTACCAGTGAGTTAAGGACTATAAAAATATGAAGATACCCATCCTTAGATTTTTTGTTATCGTCAGCGTCATCAGCATTACTATAATATATACTAAAATTCAGCATAGGATTATCATCAAGCTTCTCGCTCTTGTCATGATTTTTAATAGTATCTTCATTAGAAAGTTATTAATTTTATGAAAGTTGAGTTCAACTTTCCAGATATTCATTTCAGTTATTCCTTTGGTTTGCTCTTTTTCAGATAGAGCATCCTTGAAGTCTGCAATAGTTAAATCTTTAAGTCTTACCTAATAGGAACAAGATCACTAAAACGCATACAAAAAATATTAGCAGAAGCTTTTTCTAGTATCAGACAGTTTAATGAAAATAACATTATATTTCTATAAAAGTGATTAATTTTTTAGAAAAAGTTTCAAGAAAATTTGAGAAAGCTTGAAGGTATATATATATATATACTTTATATACCTTTTTAAATATATTGTGAAATAGACTCTTGCATAAACTTTTTGTAGCTTGTAGTGACGTAATACAGCAAATAATATAGATACTTTGACCAAATTAATAAGTATAGTAAAAAGGTAATTTATCAGTACATGAAAAAGAGGTTTTATCGTTATTCATTAGATTTTGATTCTTTGACGAATAGCATAGAAAAAGTCTAAATTTAGTGATCATCATTACACAATTATTTACAGTAGTGACAGAAAATAATGATAATATCATGTGACTTGATCAACATTACTTATCACTTCCTTTTTAATAATTATTTTTGTTTTTTTTACATAATTATTTAAATCAACACGTGATATATAATATAAATAAACAAATAATCATAAGATCAGAAAAAAAAAATTTTTTTATCCATCTTTTTTTTCATCATGCCGAAAAAATTAACTTTAAATAAAAGATAATCCTTTATAAATAATTTGTGAACAAATGGAGTCCATGATATTAATAAATTACATAAAATAACACATATTCTAAAATCCACATTATACATTTATATCTGAAAACTTAAAAAGTTTGGTATTATTAAACCAAAATCGTGTCCAAGAAGGCCAAAACTTTTGTCTCCAAAAAAATGAATTCATCTTAGAAAATTAGTTAGCACAAGAAAATGTGCAACTAGCAAGGAAATTGCTTTTACACTTAACTAAACATATCTAAACCTTAATATTGCTTCTAGAACTATCTATGAAAATCCTTTTAACCTAGGTTATCATGTTAGCATACCAACTTCAATACCAATATTGACTATTGCTGCCAAGGAACGCAGAGTTGAATGGTCAAAATCTCACCTAAATGAAAAATAGGAAAATGTCATTTTTTCTGATAAAACTACTTTTCAACTATTTTGTAATATAACATTGGTAAGATATAAGATTGGAGAAGAAAAATCACAATGTGCAATTGTAAAACATCCACTCAAAGTTCATGCATGGGATGCTTTCTGTGCACGCAGAATTGTGGGATTTCATTGTTTTACTAAAAATATGAATGGAGAACTTTATCAGGATATTTTAACTAAAAATCTTTTTATTAGTACTACAAGAATCCTTGGAAGAAGGTGGACATTCTAACAGGATAATGATTCTAAGTACAAGGCAAAATTAACAACAATTCTTCTTTAAGAAAAATGTCTGCGAGTGCTTGATTGGCCATCCTATTCTCCAGATATCAATCCTATAGAGAACTTATGGGCTATAATGAAAAAAAAGGTAGAAAAAAGGGTAAATCAACATATAGCATAAAAAAAATCAGTTGGATTAAATGATTTTTTGTCAATTATTCGATCTAAATGAGAAAATCTTGATTTAGACCTCCTATCGAATTTATGTGTAGGTATGAAAAAACATTTGAAAGATGTTATTGAAAAGAAGGGTCATATAATTAACCATTAAAATTTTATTTTTATTTACTTATGATATTATATTATATGTTATTAAAATATTTTATAAATAAATTAAAAATTGATTGAAAAAACATATAGCTTAAAAATTATCATTATTTTCTGCCACTACTGTATATATGTTTTATAATAGAATTTAATTAAATTATGATCGACTATATGATAAGCCACAAATATTACTAAGTACAGTCGGCACTGGATATAACGAACCTGTTTATACTGAAAACTTGTTATATCGAACTATATATTACAGAACCGATTTTTTTATAATTAATTACACTGAATATAACGAAATTATATAATAAAATGCTATATACCGCATCCGAACTCATTTTAACTGGCCCAACTATATTATTTATA